GTTATATCTAGAAAGAGCAGGTTTTTTAAAAAGATTTGCATCAAACAAGTCTAACAACAAGGTGTTCCTCCCAACTGTAATATATCAGCAGTGTTCCTTCCTTTACCTCTGTGTTCTGTCCACGCTTGTTCTGCACAATATGTGACACATTATCAATCAGCAGCTGCACTGTGTCTTAGACATATCTTGATGTCGGTGAACTGTGATGATTTGTTCTGCATTTTGGCTCCTGTTATAAAATCCATTGGTTTGTCAGGTGCTATACAGAATGTCCAATATTCACCCATGTTTCAGCGTCTCTGAATGATATATCACACCTTGTCATTAAGATAGTAGGTAGGAAGAGAAATAAACTGCATTTCTGTGCCAGGGATTATGTGCTCTGAAAGTGATAACTATCCTTTTCTATGTAGCTTGATGGTACTAGTGTAGCTGAGATTTATGTGTGTCCAGTAAAACAAATAATCGGGTATTTGTGCTGAATCTCACAGATCTGTGATTCATAATTGCTTCAGTAACTCATCCCATCTTATACAGACAACAATTGCATTCATGACCTGGCATGTTAGACCTGTTATCCAACATTAGTAAGTCCATGCATGATCACTGCCTTAAAATACAAATAAAGATACATGGCCTGCTTTTTCATCAAGGCAAACCTTGAAAGTAGATCATACAAACTGTTCTTTTACTTTCATGAATGAACCTATTGGTCCAACAAAAAAAATGCATGTACATCTGTCAACCAGTTGTTGTGAGAATGGGGCACAATTGAATGTTCTACGTGTACCACTTGTGAACCATAATTTAACCCAGGTTGGTAGTATAATTCAGTATAATTTATTTATCTTAATCTAATTTAATTTAAATTATCTAATTTAACAAACAAGTTATTGAACAGGCCACTCGTGATCCACTAAACCCTAGAAAATAAAACTACAGTTAAATAATTAACCTTATATAATCCCTAATATACACTAAAAATAAAAATAAATAAATAGTAAGGGTGGAATAAAATAATGTCTTCCATGAGTGGGTATGCAACCAGGTGCATGTCATGTGCAATGTATGCGTTCCTTGAACATGCGTTCGAGGGGGAATACAACTTCTGGTCAAAAGATCTTCGAATTGTATGGGCAGTAGTGAATCGGGAAAATACCAAATTAAGACCGCTAGATGGAGCTGAGGATCATAGGAAATAAATACATCTTAGTAACGAGATACAATGTAACAATTCTAGAGGATGCTGGAGGAATTTGGAGCTAAGTGAATATGTAATTGTGCTCAATCAATCCTCTTTCTAAAACTGCTAACACCAAGATGATACACAGCCCACAAATAAATATATTTAAATATGCAGCGCTTAAAATTTTGGAGAGACTCTCCATGCCCTCCCCAGATCAACAGACATTGTCATGCTCACATTCAATCAACCAAAAGTAAAGCCATTCATATATACATGAGGTTAAATGCACTTAAAATGTCATTCACCTCCCAGTAAGTGCCCTCCTCCACATCCCTACCCTCCCGATGGACACACCGGCTCAGCAAACTGTCACCCTGTGTGCAAGGATCACTTCACTTCAGGTAGAGACCACCTTTACCAGCAAAAACACTACAAAATACTGATAATCCCAAAGTATCCTAACTAAACAAATGTTTTATACCTTGTACAGTCTTGGATACTAGACAAAGCTTTAGAACCATGGCTCTCAACTGGTGGGTCGTGATCCCATGTTCAGTGGGTCGCCGCATGCCTTCTAGTGCACTAGTTGAGAGGCTCCTTAGCCTCCCCCTAGCACGGCAGTATCAGTTCTCGCGCCAAGCAGCCATTCAAAATATGCTGCCTGGCACCAAGAGGTAGGGTGGGCTGGAGAGATGGCCGCAAGGAAGCTCCATCCATACATGCATTGCTTACAGCTACCTTGCGTGGCCGGAGTGACATCATATTCTGGGTCCCGGCACCTCTACAGAGAGTGCAAGGAAGCTGTACAAGCAATGCACCTATGGATGAAGCTCTGTCACAGTACAGCAGCCCACACTGAACCCCTACATTTTTTTGGGGGGGAGTGTGAATGTCTGTGAGATTGTTTGTGATTAAAACACTGACAGACGCACACAAACTACCACGCAATTGCACCTATTGTTCGTTCTGGTGCGGGAGGTGCATTGCATTGCCATTCATTTTAATGCCACCCTAAACACACCTCCCGTCCACAGTTTGATCGCTTGCACTCCACTGCAGTGTGGTTTGGGTCGCGACTTAATGACCAAGTACAAATGTGGGTCCTGAGGTTATACAGGTTGAGAACCACTCCTCAAGAACATAGTGAATCCTAGTTCGAACCACTCCTCAAGAACATAGTGAATCCTAGTTCGAACCACTCCTCAAGAACATAGTGAATCCTAGTTCAACAACAAACTCCATCAAATTCTTAATCAAGAAAACACCCGTAATTTATGAAATCCTCATTCAAATTAGAGATGGTCTTACTGATTACATCATTCCCAAAGGCTTACCTAAATTAAACAGTTTATAGCCTGACACAACCTGTACAACTGATCCATGGTGTCAGGTCTCTTTGTAGGGGCACCACAGTGTGTGTGTTTTTTTTTTACTAGCGCTGTCTTTATGAAATTGCAGTTGAATCATAAATACTTTACCTGCCAGACTTTTGTTGTTATTTTTTGCCTTTAATGTTAGGAGAAAACTTTTAAAGAGAACAAAAATAAAGGCTATGACATGTAACCAAAAAAAAAGACTTTATTAGTTGGTGCAGCAAGACACTGCGAACTTTGCAGGCACTCAGCAACTTTCCTTACCATGAATATAAACGTTATTGGTCCATTGTTGGTCCCATCTCCCCCTCGGACTTGCGTGTTATTAGGTTTGCTTTGTTATCCTGTGGCACGTTCACTGTTTTATGAGAGATGATGAGCCGAAAGGCCGCCGTGCTGTGCAGCATCTTGTCTTGTAACTTTATTTAGTGTCCCCCTCGTGTACATATCTCCTGATCTTGTTACTTAGCTTGTTACATGGGCCAAGCCTTATTCTCCTAGCTTGGTGGCATCTGATTCCCACTTGCTTTACCTTGAATGCTGTACAAGAAATCAGACTTGTGTCTGCTCCATCAAGTCTCTATGGAAGCATTTTACAAGAAATAATACTGTATTGAATCTACAAGTATACGGACAATGAAAATGCAAAGTACAAAAAACCATGGCAGCCTATCAGAATTCATATTTTACTGACTTTTGTAAGTAAGCTAAATTTGGTTGCAATAGGTAACTACGTTTACTATTACATCATTGTTTGTTTTTTTTTGCTTTGCCTTATGGTATAATATAATACTATATATGCTGCACTTCAGATATGTCCTGTATTGTTCTTTGCATAAAGTTAAATGAGTATGTTGGTGATTTTCTCAGTAATATTCTCTAGCAGTATTTATTAGACATAAAGTACACTTTGAGGACATGAGCAGACCGTGATGGTACATGTAATAAAAAAGGTTTACTGTGAAAATAAGAGGTCCATTAGGAATAATGGGCTAACATAGATCAAAACCCATTAATATAAATCAACTTCTTTTCAATAATGGTTTATTTAGCAATGAACACATTTCTGAAATGTTTGCAACAAGCTGCAACAATTTTTATGAAATGCCAAATTGTGTTTATTTACAAGTGCTGACAGACTAGAATTATTGTGCTCTCAAATTTAATGTTATAATGAAGCGCTGCCGTGACCAAACAAATGTTACAACTTATGTAAAATCAATACCCAGATCACTTTTCCCCACATCTATAAGACTCACAGGGCTTTTGTTTATAAATCAATGCAAAAGGCAATGAAGTGTTTCTCGAAATTTGTAAAAGTTTAACAATTGAAATGGCGCACAGTAGGGAGCACAGCTATGGTTTCTTTTTACCATGTAGTTCATTAGGAGAAAAACACAACATATTAAAGATACGACTGCGTAGTAAAGGCTCATAGTAAAGTAATTGGATTGATGCCTCCAACAAACTACTCCACCATTTTGGACTGTTTTGTGTATGTTCATTACATGTAATCCAAACAAAAATACATTTTAATTCTAGGTGGTAATGCAACAAAATAGGAATAATGCCAAGGGTGAATACTTTTGCAAGCCATTGTATTATCCACACATACTAATGGCCAGAGACAACCTATTGCAAAAATGGGCTAATAAAAAGGTAGAGTAGAGGTGGGTCAGGTACAGGTATTAGGAAGTGTTGGAATTAACATAATGGAGTACCCTGGATTTCATGCAAGCAACACTGATTTACCACTAACCAGTCCTATTTCCAAATGTCAGAGCATTCACAGAAAGCCAATATCTGATTAGTTGCTATTGGTTACTACATATCTTAGGACATTAAATAAAGGACATAAAGATCACAGAGTGAAAATCAGGAGGCTATTATATTCCACTTTAGTAACATCTTCAAAATTGCTTCTCGGTGCATCACAATAATACAATACGCCTCCAACATGAAGGTCAATCTAGAATTTCTTTATTCAGAAGTGGCTATGGCTGAATTGCTTTGATGATAATAATGGAGATAATAATATGATCACATTCTCATTTATACAGATATGATTACCACCATCTTTTAACGCCCCAAAAAACATTTTTTTTTTCTCAATTTAATAACATTTTTGAAACTAAATTATTTTATTTTTTTAACTTTCTGCTAATGGAATAAGCTTCTCACTAAACATTGTAATAAGTAAATGTGAAGTTATTAAGAATTGTGAAGGACTTTTCCCAGAATGTCTATTGTATTAAATTGTGATGAGATTCTAACATGCAAAGTCAAACAAATTGAATGCGTAACAATATTAACTGCTTGATAATTCTAGAAATTCAAGGACTTCGGTTTAAACAAAAATGAACAGTACACATATATTTGTCTGGAACCACTGTTTGTTTGCAAGCCTCTGACACTCATCACATGTTGTTTTTTTTCCGCAGAGGAAACCACTTTTGAAGCTGGAGTGAAAGTTCAAATACACAGCCAGTCTGAGCCGCCGTTTATCCAAGAACTAGGGTTCGGTGTAGCTCCTGGATTCCAGACCTTTGTGGCTACTCAGGAGCAGAGGGTAAGTAGATTTTTTTCTTTAACCTGCATATCCAGCAAATATACAAATCAGACAGTAACAGAGTTATGAGAAAAGACATTAAGAAACAAACAAGTGTCCATTGACAAAAACATAATGCTCCATTTTTTTTCTTCAAATCACTAAAGTTTTATTATGTGGATCTGTTAGACTTTAGACATGAATTTATTGTATTCTGCATGCAAAAGGATTATTCCACAGGTTTGTGCCTAATAATACTGCACACTTCTGGCTGGAATTGAAGCTCAACTCCAAAAATATTTTTTTTAAACTACTCCTGCAGTTAGGGCTAACTCTGCAATACAAGGGTGAAATGCTTGTTGAGGCCCAGGGTACCAGTAAAAGCAAATTTACTTACTGTATTTCACTCTCTTAAAGCTCACCTCTTCTCTTCGATGCTCCAGGTAATGAGTGTGCCTCGGCGCACTCACTTCTAATGCAGGACTGAAGTTCTTAAAATATATGTAGTAAGGTTATCGGCTGTGGGCTGGAGCGCCCAAGAGAAAGGGCTTCAGGAGACCAGTCACAGGGAATGAAGATCCTACGGAAGTGAGGGGTAAGGTAAGTAAATGTGCCCCCACAGGGTCCCCACTTCAAGGGTAGTCTTTTCATATTCCTGGAGTTGAGCTTTAAGAGTGAGTTTCTATGAGGTAAGCAGATGAAGGAACCATTCCAGGTGGAGAGAACATCCCAATTCATGAGAAATGGAGGAATTCAGATGTTGATTTCATAAGGAACAATTTACTCCACACCCATGCTATATTTATTTTTGTGATATTGAACATTTTGATGGGTAAATTAACAAGAGGTCAAATGCATGAAAAATAACTTATCGCCCTGCGAATTGGTTTTAACGACACTGTCATAGTGCAAACCAGCATCAAAAGCCCAAGACTTGACTTTATAAAGTGCAAAAGCTGTTCTAATATGGACATAGGCTGGGGATCACATCTCCTGTTTTGGTTGGCTAGAGATTAAGGCTACTAGAAAATTAAATGATGAGTTTTAATGAACCTCTAGAATAGAGAAGCAAGGAAAATCTATTATGTCTGCATTAGCATGTCATCACTCCTTACAATGTGTAAATGACTCGCAGATGAACAGTGTCTGACTATGATTGATGTACCTGTGCTGATAAAAAGGAACGGGTCACAGATATTTCCAGGTGAATGTTCTAGTGTCTGCCTTAGTAATGAGGCCACAAAATTAGGTTTTGATTGATAACTTTTGTCTCAGCACTGCAGTAAGGAATAAACAAGGTGGCAGGATTACTCTGGATGTTACTTATGTCTTCTAAGCTTCAGCTATGTTCTCTACTCAAGATTTAAACTAACATAATGTCGTAGAAAACGTCCTCCTGAACTACTTGTTAAAACACAGTTTAATTTTTTAACGGTTCATTTCCTTTCTAGCTGACGGCATTTAAACCCCCACTGAAAAGATTTTACTTGCAGATTTTGATTTGGATATTTTTACTTTGACCATTCCTTCCCAGTTTTATTCCTCATCACTTGTGAATTGTATTACCAAATTCCTACTTTGAAAGCCACCAACAGAGTTCCATTAGTAAAATGAAGAAATTTACATTTTTGGCAAGGTACACTTGATTTGGCAATGAATGGGAAGTGCTGGACTTTCCTTTATATCGCTTGAGCAGCATGTAATATCTCCCCGGTGTGTGGCCACAGACATTTCTTCTTCCCCTTGCATATTGTAAAATTGAGCAGGATTGCCTATATATTGACCAACAGAGCATAATAAATAAAATGCAATCTCTTAAACATTTATAAGTTGCTATGTAAGGCAGGATTACAAGATAATTACCCCTAAATAGAATTTATTGACAATCTATTTTCCCTTGAGAACACAAGCATTCAGAAACATAAGTATGTGCGTCTGGTAGGCACACAGAATATCTTCTTGTAATCCTTCTGGATTAGCTGTTGGTAGCGGACCTCATAAATAAAATGTGCCATTTTTGATTGAAACATTTACTTTACCCAAAGGCTTTCATAGAAATAACAAAACATATGGAATATTATTGTAATTGTGTACATGCACACCATGAGAAAAGGCCCCACCCAGGTGTCACATGACTCATTACACAGCAGTTCAGTACAGTACATGTGCACATACATGTGCCTCCAGTCAGTAAAAAAAAAAGTGGCTCAAGCCCTAACTTAATGATTGTGTGTGTACAGAAGATGGAGAATCTTATTACCTGAAACTTGCATCATTATGCACCTAAATGTTGTTCTTTCAGCAGGGTGGTTAATTTGTCCCTTTGGAACTTTATAACCTGGATAGGTCAGTAATTACACTTAATTTTATTCAGTCTGTGGTTTACCTGCATTTAATGAGCAGCAGAATCTGTGTAACTAATATGTACTACTAATTATGGGCCCACCCTGATAGGCCACCCTGATGTTTGAAAGGAGTGCTAATGACTGAATTTGGGCATCTTTATACATCACCAAATCTGCGAAAGACTGAATCTTCTCCATCATCAGCTTTACAACAATGAATGTGGCCACATGGTGTAGTTATGTTTTCAGGACTTCACCCACTTGCCACATACGTTCCACTACAGTAAGTGCAGACAACAGATACCCACCCGGGAGGCACGTTTGATGCATGCATTTACCTTTTTATTAGAGTGTTTAAATGTTTCATTCACATAATAACTAAACGTAACACAGATAATGTTAAAAGGAAGAACTGAATTTGAAAAATAGAAATAAGTTCTATAGAAAGTGAAGGGCTCAACAACATCCACTTGAACTCTCTCATAAGAGGATTAGATAGGAAATCCCTTCCATTAAGTTGCCTGCATTGGGGAGTTTCACATTCTAGCTTGACAGGGAAAATTATACTTCTGTTTATAAAATGATGTTGGCAAGATGCGTTTGAACGGCGTATTATTATTACATAGTATTTATATAGTTTAACAGTTTGCGCAGCGCTTTACATTATAAGAAAGACATTACAATTAGACAAGATGGTATACATGGCTTCTCATATTTTCACAATACAGACAGTTTCTATAGGACTGTATGCAGTGATAATGTTATGTTAAACTTTGGCAAGATGTACTTTAATGTGATTTGAAACTACAATTATTACCCCGTTCCTATGAGCAACAGTTGTGCATTCATTATTTGCAAATAATTATGACTCTTTAAAAGCCAGCTTCACCCAATATTAGATGCCAGGAAGAAGAGTAATCCCTTTAGAAACTCATAAATTAGATATGTTTGCATTTTTTTTTTCTTTAGGGCCCATTCTTGCCACAATGTCATGCATCAACGCACATAGCAGTGTGTTAATCTGCAAACAGCCTTTTCAAAGGTTTATTCTTATTGACTTTGGGGGAAAAAAGTTCCTGTAATTTCCTCCTATACTCAATGATCCTGGCCACGGCTTGCTACATAAACATCTGTGAAGATTAAAACCTATAATTTTATACTGCACCGTTCCCAGCATAAGAGGACACGCACAATGCACAACCTCTACACTGATAGCTAGAAAATGAGCTGGAACATTTAATATGGCTGATAAAATATAGGACTGTGTCAGGCATGTCAGCACTGAGCCAATAGGCCAGGCATCATCCAGCCGCTGTAGTACACACTGTGATTTATTACTATATTCCACCTACATAGTAATGCAAGCCTTATACTGTGCAATCTTGGTAGAATGTGACACATTAAAGTGGGAATGCAATATTGGATGTATTACAATATATTGTAATATAGTTAGAAAACGGTACCCTGCAGAGTAGGACCTATTAGGGCTTTGGGCTGTTTCATGGCTGCACAGCAAATTTATCAGACCTGTGATGGGCTTTTTTTTTAGCTTTTCTTCTCCTAGGAATTGATCTTGGCTTCTAAAATGTATTAAATGTGTTTTTAAAAAAAAACAGACGATGCTAAGCGTGTGCTTCCAAATCTTTAGTCCGTTCAGCACTAAGAACACTTGGGTACTATATGTATTGTTAAGAATTATAACATTTGCCACCCACCCACATCTCCGCCATCCAAACACTCTTCCTTGTAAAATATACAGCTGCCGGCAGAAGCAGGGAAGCCATGTGTCCAGGTTGTGCCCTCCATTGCTTTCTTCTTGACTAAGCTTATTCTGTATATAAATCTTAACCTTGTTGCGTACTGCTTAAAGCAGAGGCCAGCAACTTTAGTGGAAGAAATATGTTGGCAAATGCTTCAGTAGGCCCAGACTACTATGCAGCTTTTGTTCCACATGCTCTCAATTATCTTCAACACATGGAAAGGAATTGTTGTAGTATGTATTAATGCCTAGGATAAGCATGCTAGTGTTATATGAAGGTGTTGGTGTTAAAATGATGAAGGTGATGGTGTTAAAATGATGAAGGTGATGGAAACAGATATGTTATTTCACATTATGCCTGTCTACAAACCAGGGAAACTATTCCTGACTCCACTGTCTCTGTAATACATTTTCGGTCTGACATTTTTGTAAATTTCGGTATCGTTTTGGTTTTAGAATTTCCATTTCGGTGCACCTCTAATAATCAAAAAACGCACCTCTAATAATATATATTGCTTATCTGTGCTCATCAAATGCAATCACATCAGAATCCTAGTTGTATGCAGATCTGGTCTGCATTTGGTGTGAACAAGCCCTTAATGACACCTGACAAGCACTGCTATTCATCTTCTCAGCCTTTGAGGGCACTGAAATGAAAGGTTGTGGCAGGGGTGGTAGAGAAAATCCCTTCCATTTCCTTTCAAACTACTTCTGATTTACTCTGATCGGCCACATATGTTATCATTCCATATTTGGGCAGTATAAGTAAAACCATTTTAGGGCATGTGTGGCTATATAAGTACTGAACAAATTATATTTCCATGAAAGTATAGCATCTAATAAATTGTTGTCAGATGAGCAGACACGCATTACACTGTAATATCTGAATGTGTGTGTGTGTGTGTGTGTTGGTTCCT